TAAGATGAGCATGGCGGCTCAGAGTGAGAACTGACTCGTTTCTGTGTCCGCAAGTCTTCCCTATCTACACAGCTTTGAGCATATGTGTTTACGTTTTACAGAAACGAAACTTAACCGCATGGCTAATTTGCATAATCTAAGCACTCAAAAAACATCTCGCTATTGTGCACTGGTGCGGTTCAGCTTCTGTCGGACTAAATGACACGACTCAGTGGATTATATGTGTTCTTTCTGTGACAGAGGGGTGTTGCTGATGGTGAGTCTGTTCTGTTCTTCTATTGTGTTTGAGATGGTTCATGTAAAACTTTTCAGAGATTATACGTACGATCATACGCATAGACCGTTTATATGAATGGACATATATTCTAGCTTCTTAGCATTTTGGCGCAGTGTATCAGCATTTTCAGGTGTCCACACGGTGCCGGATCAGATCCGTACTCAAATGGATTTGTTGGAGCTGACGGCAGCAGATCGTTCCATCTCTGGAGCTGTTTTCGTTGTGGATGCAGTGTTCATCCAGACTAACCCGAAAACGACTCGAATATGAACTAGTGTGGACGAGGCCTCAGTAGAATTTCAGAGCTGAAATGGCCCAAGTGTTTCTAGTGAAGGTCTATGGAGTTTAAAATACAGCAGAGCACTTCCTGTACTACCACATGACATCACAAGGTGGAACAGAGCATTTGTTTGACAGAAAAACAACAGGATAAATATGCAGGGTTTGTGAATAGGGCTGGGTATCATTAAGAAGTTATTTCAAATTAATTTAATATGGTCCAATAAAAAATAAATGCTAAATCATGGGTATGATACTAAAAGTCTAAAAGTGCAAAGTTCATATGAAACACGCCCGTTTTAATCACAACAGTGAAAATGTCAAATGTGTTGCACAAATGAGTTTCCTTCCTCTGAACAAGCAACAAAACTGTAGCTTTAACAAAATAATTTTGTAAAATATACCAAAAAATATTCTTAGTGATATATATCGATACAGCAGCCCACGATATCGATACTGTATCGTCACATTAAACAATACAATAAATCTATATTTTTGAGTTTTTCCACACCCCTATTTGTGAACATGTGTGAATTAAACACAACTCCAAGTCTGTTTGTGATGAGGAAACAACATTACAACATAGATCAGAAAATAACATACTGTATTTTCCGCACTATTAGTCGCTTTAGATTATAAGGCACACTGTCATTAAATGGTCTATTTTCAAACTTTTTTCACAAATAAACCGCGTGGGACTTCAGTTTGTTCCTCTGTTCCGTTCCTCGTCGGCGTGGAGTGATGAGTGTGTCTGTGTCGCTGTCTGCTCCGTGTGTGTTTGCGTGCACTGCGGGTGGTGCGGCTTTGTACAGTATTTTCCGGGCTATTATACGCACTCTTAAGCCTCTAACCCCATCAAAAAAAACGGCTGCACGCCCCAAAATCCAGAGCGCCCTATACACGAATCCACTCGGGTGTCCCAGCACGACTTCAGTAAACTACAAAGCCGCACCACCCGCAGAACACACAAACACACACGGAGCAGACAACGACCGCGCAGCGAAACACACCCACAGACACACTCATCACTCCACGCCGACGAGGAACGGAAGGGAAGAACAAACCGAAAAAGCGAGTGCAATGTGCCACTTCTAGACACAAACTGAACAACTGAGTCACTGTGAACACGCCGACAATCTGTTGGTCCCAGACAGCACCCCTCCCTACACGCCACAACTGAACAAAGCCCAGAGTCACCGTGAACGAACAAACAAACAAAACCACTCACCCATCACACTGTTGGGTTTCCTTTAAAGTCCGGTGCGGTTTATTTGTGAAAAAAGTTTGAAAATAAACCATTTAATGACAGTGCTCCTTATAATCCAGAGCAACTAACAGCCCGGAAAATACGGTAGTTTATTGAAGTGGTGCTGGGACACCTGAGTGGATTCATGTATAGGGGCTCTGGATTGTGGGACGTGCAGTTGTTTTTTGATGGGGTTGGAGGCTTAAGAGCGCGACTAATAGCCCGGAAAATATGGTAATATGGCCCTTTTTAAAACATAGACATGACTGAATCTGTGCAAAAATTTGATTATAACTAGGGCTACGTTTATATGGTGACAGTCTACACAGAAGACGCAAAAGTGGCATCGCGTTTTCAACCTGCGTGCATACGGTGATGCAGAAGTTTGTGGAATTGGATTGTGTATGGTGATGACACTAGGTGGTGATGTATGTGACGTAAATGTGTACGCGATTTGAGCAGATCTGACCAGGGGTTTGCGTCTTGGGCAGTGTAGACAGAAATTCTACAGCAGAGCATATTTAATTTTTCCACTCTGGAGGGTGCTTTCAGATTTTTGCGTTTTTAAGCCCCAAAAACGCCGTCACCATCTAAACGAAAGACACTTACGATAAAATATTTTGCATTCTCGTATAAACAGGCCCTATATAACAGACGGATCTCTTTAAACAATGTAAATGTTTTTTGTTTTTTTGTTTTTTTTTATTGGAAAGCTCACAGACATTGCGTTCCGTAGGGTTCCACGTGGACTTGAGGCAGTTCCACATAGTTTCAAATGTCTTAGTAATGGCTTTGTGATGAGCTGTCATTGGCTGTGGTGTTTTTTTTTTTGTTTTTTAAGCTTTTTTTTTTTTTTTTCATAATTTTCAGAAAAACAAAAAAATTATAAAACAAATAAGATAAGATAAGATAATCCTTTATTGTCTCCCATGGGAGAAATTTGTCTTGGGACAGGGGGTAACATGCTTTATCAAAAAACAGGACAACACAACACAAAGCAGCACATAAACAAACACCAGAGAACAGAATAAATATGAGACCAAGTCTGACCACGAGTGATGCACCAACAGGACCTTTAAATTATTCTTAACAGGCGAGCCCTTTGCATTCTTGTAATCTATTAATAATTGCACATTCCCTAAGCCTATGTGCAGTTTTAATTATTGCACATTCCTCTTGAGTCTATGTGCAGTTTTAATTGCAAATAAACAAAGTAATACTGTTTTTTTTTTGTTTTTTTTAAAGCAGTGTTGTGGTGACCAGTCTAGACTCTCGGGAGGATCCTTAGTCAAACTTTCAAATGAACAGAATAAATGTGGATCTGCTTTGTGTCTGATTTATCAACTCTGCCAAAAGCAAACTGCTCTGTCCAAACCAAGACATTTTCACTGCCCGCACATTTTTGACCTAACACTGCTTTACGATCCGAATGAAAATAACTCTTCTCAAAATAATACGACATTTTGGGGGTTTTATAGCCTTCGGATTTGTAAGTGCTTTCTTGAAGTTTAAAAGTGCATTGTGTAACTTTTCTGGTGGAGGGGCCGTCAAATGCTTTTCTCCATTGCGTTGTCTGGAATGTTTCACAGTGTGGCATTAAAACTTTCTATCTTCATGGAGACCAAACCAGACCAAGCGTATTTGAGTGTCTAAAAAAGCGCACTATACCAGTCTGATGTTTTTTTATTATTATTATTTAGATCAAGTTACAGGTCGGATCTGTGGAGAGACAACCCCAACATGCTCGCCTCTCCACTGATCTGACTAGATACTCCTGATATTACTCCTGTTTTACTTTATCTAGTCAAATATGAAAGAATTGGTTGTTGTAAATGAAGTAAAGTCAGACGGTAAAACAATTTAGTATGGATAAAAAAATATATGAGTTTAAATTAGACTCTAAACCGGGGGCGTCAAACTCAAATTCACAGAGGCCGAAATAAAAAACTGGGACTAAGTCGTGGGCCAAACTAAATATTTACTGAAAAATTTCAACAACATCTGCATATTTTCTTTTCTTTCAAGATATGTAATGTTAAACCTTTTCTTATTCAAATAATTCAAATATTTAATAATAGTTTTGCTTAAACATTGAATCCTGAACAAGTAGAATATAAAATAATAACAACATTTTAAATAAATAATGTCTCTATAGTCTGTCTGTAGCTGGTGGGCAGCTCTAATACAGATTTGATATGATCTCTTGGGCCAAATATAATTATATCGCGGGCCAAATTTGGCCCCCAGGCCCGAGTTTGACATGTCTGCACTACTATTACTCTACTAATATTATCCTATATTCTAAATGGGCATATCCCTCTCTCTCTTTTCATCTTCGTGACCTCATTATTATTAGTTTGTACGACCATAAACTGAAAAAATTTATAATAATTCTTACATTTTTTCATTCTCATTGTGGCTTATTTTGTATGATCATGAACAATAAACTTATGTGCCTTCGTTAACATTACTATTGGTTTGTACAATCATAGTATGTAATTTATTTCACGTTATGTAAATATTTGTAAAGTTCCGTGATCAATGTACATAAGAAACCACATCATTTTTGAAACTGTCATGAACAGAGGTGGGTTAATATCAGTTTATTCTTCTTCCTGCTCCTTTTGAGAAATGTGCTTTTCTCTTGTTTACACTGTAAATGTACTAAATGTATAATTACTATTTCTGTCTTGGCACAAACTCTAAACCAGGACTGAACCAGGACTAAACCAGGACTAAACCAGGACTGAACCAGGACTGAACCAGGACTGAACCAGGACTAAACCAGGACTAAACCAAGACTGAACCAGGTCTAAACCAGGACTGAACTAGGGCTGAACCAGGTCTAAACCAGGACTGAACCAGGAAAAAACCAGGACAAAACCAGGACTGAACCAGGTTTAAACTAAGACTGCCAGAATGGAACCAGGACTTAAACCAGAACGATTATTGTTTCTGTTTTGGCACAAACACCAAAAAAATAAAAATAAATAAAACAAAAAAAAAAATGAATCAGTTTAATCAATCAATCTAATCTCGGCTCAAACTGTTTAATTTGATCCGTGGTGATGCTCTTGCTTTGTCTGGAATGTTCCACAGTATGACATTAAACAACTCCACCTTACATTTATGACATTTCAAGTGGTTTTATGTGTTTTTGGAGATGTTTTTTTAATTGAATGTGTTTTTGTTTCACAGTCACTGGAGTCCACCCGCGTTGAGTCCGACCATCGAAGACCAGAGACCGCCACCTGCTGGGCAATCTGCGTATCTACAATCTCCTCTCCGTAACTCTAACACTATACTACCTTCTGCATGACCCATAGTAGTGACATTATACCCGTAGTCCAAGTCTTTGTTTTTACCAATTTAATCATACGGAGGCAAAGACCAGATCAGTAACTTTTAATCGACTTCTTTTTAAGCATTTACTTTGTTTTGCTATGACATTTTTTAGGTTCAAAGTTGAGATTATTTTTATTATTTATTTTTATTTTGCCAGTATAAAGCCAATATGATAAAGTTTTATTGATTTTGTTTGAGATATGTACCGACCAATCAGACGTCGTGTTTGTTACGACCACCGGGCCTCAAGCACACAGACAAACGACTGCAGAGCAACAACACGGCACAAGAGCTGCAGATGACCAGGACTAGACCAGGACCGAACCAGGACTGAACCAGGACTGAACCAGGACTAAACCAGGACTAAACCAGGACCGAACCAGGACTAAATCAGGTCTAAACTAGGACTGAACCAGGACTAAACCAGGACTAAACCAGGACTGAACCAGGACTAAACCAGGTCTATACTAGGACTGAACCAGGACTGAACCAGGACTAAACCAGGACTGAACCAGGACTAAACCAGGTCTATACTAGACTGAACCAGGACTGAACCAGGACTAAACCAGGACTAAACCACAAATAAGCTAAGAATAACTGGAACTAAACCATAATTAAACCAGGAGTAAAGTAGGACTAAACCAGGACTAAACCAGGACTGAACCAGGACAAAACTAGAACTAAACCAGAACTAAACCAGGTCTAAACCAGGACTGAACTGGGACTAAACCAGGAGTGAACCATAAATAAACTAGGACTAAACCAGGACTAAATCAGGACTAAACCAGGACTTAAACCAGGACTAAACCACAAATAAATTAGGACTAAACCAGGGCTAAAGCATAAATAAACCAGAACTAAACCAGGATTAAATCAGAACTAAACTCGAACTAAACCAGAACTTAAACCAGAACTTAAACCAGGACTTAAATTAGAACTAAAACTAGGACGAATACTATCAGGACTAAACCAGGACAAAACCAGGACAAAACCAGGACAAAACCAGGACAAAACCAGGAAAAACCAGGACAAAACCAGGACTAAACCAGGACTAAACCAGGACTTAAACCAGGACTAAACCAGGACTTAAACCAGGACTAAACCAGGACTAAACCAGGACTAAACCAGGACTAAACCAGGACTTAAAGCACCTTGTTTCCCTCTCGTGCCTGTGGTGGTAATCTTACGTGTGATTGGTGAACACCTGGACACTCCTTTACACCAACAAACACACTCGAACCTCCTCCTTGAACCTCATCCATCAAACTCCACACTGGAAATAACATGAGTCTTACTTTTCTTCCACACTTACATTACTTTGCCATAGAACTTTATATAAAACACACTTATTACGGTGTTTGGGGTGAAAATGTCCGCCGTTTGGGAAAATTGTACTCTACTGTGTGTTGAGAACATTCCAGTTAGACCAGAACACAAAACAAAACCTGTGAACTACAAGAAAAAGAATCGTTTATGAATCCAACTTGCTTTAAAACGTTCTGTGATTTGTAATGATTAGCCATATTAGACTGAAAATTATAGTCCAGTATTTTGACGGATCTATATTTTAAACTAATGTGAGCTTAAATAGTGTTGGATGTTTTTGATTTGATTTATTTTTGGAGTGAAAATGTTCAATATCTCATTCAAAAATCATAGCAATTCATTGGACAGTAGGGTTTGCACTGTCACGAACTGAAACTTTGCAGCTGATGCCGTCACCGTTCCCTGGGGTTTTGACGTTAACTGAAAGCACTGCTCTGTCTAAAGCTCTGTTACTCAAGTTAAACTTTAATCTGAGTTTTATTTTTACACAATCTGACCTGAAAGAGCTTTTTTGGTCAGAAGTACAACAGCTGAGATGATTTAAACAAGTCTCTCAGATGTAAAATTATTGTCAGAAACTCGCTGTCACTCTCAGCTTTTTCGTTGAAAATCATTCTTCTAGTTAGTTTTTTTTCTTGAGTTTTCAGACTATATTTTAACATTTTTTGCAATTTTTGTGTATGCGTGCATTGTGTCACCATGGTAACTGTAAGCACACAGAGTCAAAACTGCAGACCAGCAACACTGCACAAGAGCTGCAGATAACCTGGACTAAACCGGGACTAAACCAGGAGTAAACCAGGACTAAACCAGGTCTAAACCAGGTGTAAACCAGGACTTAACCAGGACAAAATCACGACTAAACTGGGACTAACCCAGGACTAAACCAGGAGGTAAACCAGGACTAAATCAGGACTAAACTGGGACTAAACTGGGACTAACCCAGGACTAAACCAGGAGGTAAATCTGGACTAAACTGGGACTAAACCAGGACTAAATCAGACTAAATCAGGACTTGACCGGGACTTGACTGGGACTGGGACTTTATCGGGACTTAATCAGGACTTAGTCAGAACTTAAATCAGGACTATAACTAGGACTAAATCACAAATAAACTAGGACTAAACCAGGTCTAAACTAGGACTAAACCAGGACTGAACTAGGACCGAACCAGAACTAAACTAGAACTAAACTAGAACTAAACCAGGACTAAACTAGGACTAAACCAGGACTAAACCAGGACTAAACCAGGACTAAACCAGGTCTAAACCAGGTCTAAACCAGGTCTAAACCAGGTCTAAACCAGAACTAATCCACAACAGCTGAGATGATTTAAAGTCTCTCAGATGTAAAATTCCTGTCAGAAACTCACAGTCACTCTCACTTTTTTTGTTGAAAATCGTACTTCTATTTTGTATTTTTTCTTGAGTTTTCAGACTATTTTTGCAGTTTTTGTGCACGTGTGCATTGCGTCACCATGGTAACTGTTGAACATTCTGCCAATAGAGATCCATTTCAAACACCCCCAGCGCGATGTCACTGCAAAGTACCAATAAGAGACTCAAGGAAGGCTCATTCTGATTGGATAATTGTCTGTTTGGACAATTATCCAATCAGAAAACAGAATGTAAACCTCTTGCCCTTCATGTCCAATGTTTTTGTGATAACAGTTGTAATGCTGATTTCTTTTTTATCAGTAAAAACTATTCTCCTAGTTATTTGATTTGACCAGGCACAGATAGGTCAGGTTTTTGAGATTTTAAATACAAATCTTTCATCTTAGATCTTAACTTTAACCAAAACCCCATTAAAATCCATATACCGTCCTCTACTGCATCTTATTGTAGCGTTTGGGATTGTGCCATGACATGTAGGGATTTTTCAGTTTGCATCATGTTTAATGGAGACGTTAAGATGCTAAATAATAAACTTCACATTCATTAACAGGTATTCTATTGACAGTAAACTACAGTAAATGTACAATATTATGAGCTTCTCCATGACCCGCCTCAAAATCCAGGACTATTTTTAAAGAACACATATTATGCATTATTTGAGTATTTGAGTACCTTTGCCTCTGCATCTTAGGTTTTACAACATGGCTGTCTTCTGACAACTTGTTTCTGTAGGATTTCTAGAAAACTGGGAACTTGAGTTAGTCCACCATCTACTGGCAGCAGCGAGAATTGTATCTGGTGTCTCGGGTCTTAGTCCTGCACCAGGTCGGGTACCTGTGGACTAAAGAGAGAGAGAACCCCGAGCACAAGCACGCGGAGCAGGTGTCCGCAAAGCACTTTCGGACGACGGCCGTACTTAACTCCCTACGGCACGGAGCTCTGCGCTGGTCCTTTCGCCTGCGGTTACCAGACGGTCTACGCGGCGCACCTTAGTCCTGGGTTAGTTCTGGGTTAGTCCTGGGTTAGTCCTGGGTTAGTCCTGGGTTAGTCCTGGGTTAGTCCTGGGTTAGTCCTGGGTTAGTCCTGGGTTAGTCCGGGGTTAGTCCGGGTTAGTCCGGGTTAGTCCAGGGTTAGTCCTGGGTTATCACGGGCACGGGCGGTAATGGGTGGAATGTTTACGGGCCCGGGTGCATCCTCCCGGTTGCCGTGGAGCTGTGTTCTCCATCCCCGCTTTCCACCAGTCCCTCACAAGTTTCTCATTCAATCCAAACTTTCTTTCTGCTGCTCGATTACTGTTTTCGGCTGCAGATTTCACGACTTGCAGCAGGACAGTGGCTTTTTCTGCAGGAGACATTAGCAGAAAACTGACACACGGGAGTAGAGCGCCCTCTTATTGCCGTCAGTGTGAACATTTATATATATAATTCACTGTGGAGTATAAGTCACAGGAAACACCAAAACCATGAAAAAAAGTACCACTTATAGTCCGAAAAATACGGTTTGTTTTTGACGAGTATAAATAGTATAAAAAGTAAATTTAGCTTAATATGTGTTCTTTAAAATCCCAAACCAGTGCTTGTTCCTTTCTGTGCTTGTCCTCTCCTCCTGTACTAGTAGTGGTAGTAGTAGTATTAGTACTTGAGCTCCAGTGCGTCCACGCCTCCGTCTCGTCCACACTGTGTAGTAGTGGTGGTTCTGCCTTGGAGCGCAGTATTCAAAGTGCTCTTGTTTTCATAATGGTGCCTGTTGTGGCTGTTGGAATGTTTTAACTGTAAGAATTCCATTAAGGGTCACCTATTCTGCCTGGAAGGACAAACATTATACTTACACCTTTAAACCTACTTGACAACGGTTTAAAATGACTTCTCGTCTTTTTTTTTTTTATGGTACCGTTGCCGTAGGAAGTTGCATTGTGTAACCTTTTTGGTGGAGGCTCTGTCAAATGCTTTTCTTCATGGAGATGTTATTGCTTTGTCTGGAATGCTTCACAATATGGCATTAAACCTTTCTATCTTCACAGAGACCAAACCAGACCATGTTACATGTCAGATCTGTGGAGAGGCAACCCCATTCACAGTCAGAATGTCTGTTTTTCAAGGTATAAAAGCTTTAAAACCACCTGCAATTGAATTACACCTGGTCTAAACAGAGTCTAAACCAGAACAAAAGCAGGACTAGACCAGAATTAAACTGAGAGCAACCTGTGTCTAACCCAGAACCAAAGTAGGACTAAACCTGGTCTAAACTGGGACTAAACGAGGACTAGACCAGAACTACACCAGAACTAGACCAAATCTAGACCAGAACTAGACTAGAACTAGACCCAAACTAGACCAGAACTAAACTAGGAATAAACCGCATCGAAACCAGAACTAAACTAGAATGCGGTTTAAACGGGGACTAAACTGGGACTAAACCAGGACTAACCTTACATTAAAACTAAACGACAGTATAACATAGATCAGAAAATAGTGTAATACGGCCCTTTAAAAGCAAACCAGACCAAGTTACAGGTCAGATCTGTGGAGAAGCGACCCCACTCACAGTCAGAATGTCTGTTTTTCTAGGTATGTTTGAGCTATAAAACCACCTGGAATTGAACTAAAGTAAGGCAGGGCTGTTTAAAGTCATACTGTGGAACATTTCAGGCAGAGCAATGACATCTCCATAGAAAAACAAGCAGGTGACGGACCCCAACCAAAAAGTTACACAGTGCACCTTTTTAAAACTAAATATTGAATTATGAGTAAGATGGAGTCCGTGGTGTTTTCGAACTTTTTTGCTTATTGGCAGCTCTAACTACATTTATTTAGTTTTTTTCACTAATCTAATAATCATAATTTACCAAGAGTTTATTGTAAGGATACAGATCATGTTAAATATATTCAGTGAATGTTATTAGGTTCTTTTTACAGACCAAGAGTTTGTTTTCATACCTGACAGTTTGGACTGCTCACTAGCGTCTTCCTCAGAGTGTTCACATGATGTCGCTGTGACGTGTCGGTCAGATGATTTAAACAGGTTTTGGTGCTGTCTTCCTATCGTTGGAGGCAGGACGACAGCGCCACCTGCAGTCCCACTTCCTCAAGACAGTATCCCAGGTGTGTGAGAGTAAAAAAGCCCCTCGTCCCCGTTTATCGTCCTGTGGGCACGTTTCTGTATTTCGACTGCCTTTTTAATCCAACGACGATGTTTGTTTTCCTCTGTCCCAATGATGTTTGCTCCATCCCAGCACACGAACAAAGGAGCACAGAACAGAATGCGAGAAGGAAACAGCGAAGGCGTGCACACGAGCAACAAAACACAAAGCAGAACAGAACAACTCAAATCGACCATCTCTGACCACTGCAAAAGAGAGAAGCACATTCTGGACTGGGACGGAGCAAACATAAACCGGGACTATGAACCGGGACGAGGGTCGTTTTTACTCACACACCTGGGATACTGTCCACCGGTAGAAATCAGCAGAGCGACACGTCACAGCAACATCACATGACCACTCTGAAGAAGAGCGCTAGTGAGCAGTCGAAAAACAAACTCTTGGTCTGTAAAAAGAACCTAATAACTAGTGATGGACGAATGGAGCCTCGTGAAGCATTGACACCTCAGTCGCAATATTGTCTCAGATAGTTCGACGTGTCTGACACCTTGGAGAAACACTGACCTCCAGAGGACAAATTTAACAATAAGACAGTACCTAACAATAACAATAATAATGATGATTTAAAACAATATGTAAAGAGCAACATAAATAACATGATGTAAATAAGAAAAGAGGTGTTTCCTTGTTAGGTGGAATTAGATCAAATTGATCCCAAACCATGGATCACTTTTTTCCACTTGTAGATGCCATCGAAAATTAAACAAATGCCAAAAGTCGCCAAAATCACCACTAACGTCACACAATACTCCTCACTACCCAACATTTTTAAGAAATATTGGTGCATCTTTTATACTGTAGCAGTTCAGCGCTTGTCAAACCACGGAAGTGCACTGAACACACTGAACCAATCACAGAGCAGAACATTTACTGAGCAAATGAAACGCTTCGATACACTGAAGCGATCGACACGCAGAGTGAAGCAGTAGGGGGAGGGACCGACACTTCCACACTTTGGTCACGTGAGCGGCTGCTGCGAGACGAGCTCCGAGGCAGAGCTTCAGAGTGATTTGTTTCAGAAAGAACGAGACGTGCTCCAGAGCTCCCACTCATTTGCCCGTCACTAGTAATAACATAAAATATCAGAAGACCAAATGAACCTCACTGGACTATATTCAGTGACATAAGTTAAAGTTCTTACTGATTCTCAGACAATTAAACTCTTTGTAATTATAATTCGACAGTAACCAGAGGACTTACTTTAACCTCAAGGTCCTTCTATAATGTATCTGTACTGGGACAAGACCCATTTTGCTCAAATACCTGGAAAAAATCTGGTTCGGGACCTTTAAATCCTCGCAGAATACGTGCCCCTTCAGGACCTGGTTTATTGATTTCTGTATTTCTGACGTATGTTGTCTACTTTAGCATTGTGCTAATGGTAAAACTGTATAAACTACTTTGAAGAATGTCACTGTTGTGTTCATGTTTTATTTCAAAACTGTAAATAACTTTTTTTTTATAATATAATAATTTCTGATTGTGTCTCTATATTTATCTCGAGTCTCCTAATGTTTTTGTAATCAGACTTATGCTAATGAATAAACTGCTGTCTACGCCTACCCTGTCCATGTTGCTTTATTTTATTTATTTATATTTATATTTAATTGCTATTTTTTATAACAACTTTACTCATTTTTGGAGCTAGTTTTATCCAAATGGAAAAAAAAAAGTCTGCTATTTTCATGTTTTGATATCATGTTGACCAAGACCAAGAAAATTTAAGTCAGTTTACAGATGCAGGTAAAGTAAAAATATTGTGTTTTCTTGTGTTTTACATTTTCTTTTTAACTGTCTGTTTTGCTCGGAAAGAAACTGACAAAAACACTTTATTGTTGGCCTCTAGTTTCCATCCGACTTCCCTAAAAAGAAATCTGCCCATAAGTCAGTTTTATCGATTAAGAAGAATTTGCCATTCCACTGAGGACTTTATTCAACAAGCCACTGACATGAAAGTGAGATTCCAACAATGAGAGTATCCTGTGTCTTGGGTTGATGATGCTTATGGGCAGGCTCTTCATAAGTCACGCACAGACTTATTAAAAAAGAGCACCAAAAAGCAAAAACATTATTCCGTAACCTGCATCACCCAATATTGGACCCATACACCTGCAATTAAATCCATTTTCCTGAAATACTGTTGTATTTTGAAATCAGACCTGGAAATTTCAACCATCTTAAAAGATCCTCTACTCTTTGTGAACAAACGAGGCAAAAATCTTAGAGACTTTTTGGTACGGGCCAATTCCACAAACACTGTTGGGAAGGTGACTTTTAAAATGTATTCCCCTACAGATTACAGATTACATACCCCAAAATGTAGTTTGTAACGTAATCCATTAAATTACTTAAAGTGAGTAACGTAATCTGATTACTTTGGATTATTTGATATTGTCCTGCTTTTTAAAACTACATGAATGTAACAACCACATCCTGAAAATTCTTGTTTGTTTTCTTCAAATTGTCTGTTGAGCCCAAGTCTCCATGAATAAGCAACTGTTTGTTGTAGAGAAGCAAAGACCAGGAAATCTTAACATAAGATGTTTTGTTTTGTCTGCTAAAAGAAAATATAAAGTCCAGTCTTTACTTAAGCATATAAAAAAAATATTATTGATAGAGAAATGATTTCTATATGAGATCACTGCTGCTTTAAATTATGTCCACCAACTGTTAGTGTCATATTGTTTAGTCTTGGTTTAGTCCTGGTTTAGTCCTGGATTTAGACCTGGTTTTAGACCTGGATTTAGTCCTAGTTTAGTCCTAGATTTAGTCCTAGTTTAGTCTTAGTTTAGTCCTGCTTTTAGCCCTGGTTTAGCCCTGGTTTAGTCCTGATTTAGCCCAAAATGTGAAAACAGGAAAATACCGCTGTGTAATCCATTTATTTCAACAAAGTAACTGTAATCTAATTACCACTCACTGAAACAGTAACTGTAACTGAATACAGTTACTCATAATTTGTACTCTGATTACGTAACTCCGTTACATGTAATCTGTTACTCCCCAACACTGTCCACAAATAAATCTAAACTATCCTCCCCATCTCTGTTGCACAGCAGCTGTGCTCAATGCAACAACACAGTCAAAATGGACCACTTTTTTCACCCTCACACTGGTAAGAAATTTCCCATAAAAAGTGTCATCACATGTGCATCTACACATGTAATCTACATGTGGAAAGGTCCATACGGCCTAGTTTATATTGGCAAGACCACAAGAAAACTCAAACAAAGAAAAGTGAGCACAAGAGCTCCATCAGAAGGAGCGACCGGGACTATCCAGTAGCAGTACATTTTAATGATCAGAGACACGATATTAGTTCTCTCTGTTTCTGTGGCATTGAGCATGTCCCCCCTCCACTCAGAGAAGGGGACCGTGACCGTATACTTAAACAAAGGGAAGCATTTTGGATTCACACTCTCCAAACTTTAGCTCCAAAAGGACTCAATGACAATTTTAATCTTAGCATTTTTTTGTAGACATTTGTTACATCATGAGGTCTAGAGCCATGCGTTGGTTCTGAACAAAATTTGAGCACAGAACAAGTCGACGATGAACAAACGAGCTTTAAAAACTGCGCAGGATGTCTGGAGTTTTGACTATGACGACACAATCCAGATAAAATGCAAACCGAGCATTTCCAAGAGCTCAGAGAAGACGGATGAGGACGGATGAACGAGCGTGGATGAAACAAAATACAACTCCAGGTTTGTTTTTGATGAAGTAACAGTGATATCTACAATTCAATCTTCAATTCAATCCAAACCAGACCAAGTTACAGGTCAGATCTGTGGAGAGGCAACCCCGCTCACAGTCAGAATGTCTGTTTTTCTAGGGATTTTTGAGTTATAAAACCTTAACGGGGTATAAACTGGGACTTAAACCAGGATTTAAACCAGAACAAAACCAGGACTAGACCAGAATTAAACTGAGAGCAACATGTGTCTAAACCAGAACCAAACTAGGACTAAACCTGGTCTAAACTGGGACTAAATTAGGACTAGACCAGAACTAAACTAGAACTGCACCTGGTCTAAACGGGGTCTAAACAGGGACTAAACTAGGACTAAACCAGAATTTAAACCAGGATTTAAACCAGGGCTAAACCAAAAGCAGGACTAGACCAGAATTAAACTGAGAGCAACCTGTGTCTAAACCAGAACCAAACTAGGACTAAACCTGGTCTAAACTGGGACTAGACCAGAACTATGCCAATTTTTTTGTTTTTGGTTTTGTTTTTTTGTTGTTGTTTTTTTTGTTTTTTTGAGCTATAAAAAAACACCTGGTCTAAACCGGGTCTAAACAGAATCTAAACGGGGACTAAACCAGGACTGAAGTAGGATTTAAACTAGGACTAGACCAAAACTAAACTAGGAGTAAGCCACATCAAAACCAGATCTAAACTAGAACTACACCTGGTCTAAACGGGATCTAAACCAGGACTAAACCAGGACTAACCCTACATTAAAACTAAACTAAATTATAGCATCACAATCAGAATGCAGAAGCAGGATTTAAACCAGGATTTAAATCAGGACTAAACCAGAACCAAACTAGGACTAAACCTGGTCTAAACTGGGACTAAACTAGGACTAGACCAAAACTAAACCAGAACTAAACTAGAACTACACCTGGTCTAAACGGGGACTAACCCAGGACTAAACCAGGACTAACCCTACATTAAAACTAAACGACACTATAACATAGATCAGAAAATAGTGTAGTACGACCCTTTAAAAGCAAACTAGACCAAGTTACAGGTCAGATCTGTGGAGAAGCGACCCCCCCAAACAGAAATGTTACATAGTGCAGCTTTAAACACGCATTATTTCCCTCTAAAATGAATCTAAGCAGCACTTTGCCCTCGGATGACTCTGCTCTGACTTGTGAACAGCAGACTTGTGGTTGCCGAGGGCCCCTGGCTTCGGTCCAGTGTTCAGACTCTTAAACACGGGGTAATTTAAAGTCTCTGTGTACACATGTTATAGGCCCAGTTCAAATCACTGTACTTATCTCGGCTCTAATCGTCTTATGTTCACTTGAATTTGCGTCACGTTTGTAGTAAAGCTGTTGATTCTGTGTAATGTAAAGCGGAGATATTGTTCCTTCTAAATGTATATTTGAGAAAAAAAAAGTGGTTTGATTGCGAAAACGTCTCTGTAAAGATGTTGTAATGTGCAATGTTGACCACACGAGGGGAGTGTTGCGTCAGAGCTGAAGTTCAAATTAGGTACTGAGAGATTGGGATTATATATGTATAAGGTTATGTTTTAATTACATATTACATAATTTTATGATCTGTTATAATGTTGTTTCCTCATCAAAAACAGACCCGGACATGAGTTTTGTTTTATTCACACGTTTAACACAAAAATTTCCACATATTTAGACTGAGTTCACTCTGTTCCACCTTGTGATGTCATGTGGTAATCTGGACCCATTTGTACTCGAAAACCCACAAATAAATAAAATAACCCCAAAATTCAAAAAAGCTGAATAGAAATTTGAATGAATTCTGTCCGTTTGCCTCATTCCAAGTCCCTGATTCTCATGTTTACTGAGATCATGTTTACTGAGATCATGTTTACTGAGATCATGTTTACTGAGATCATGTTTACTGAGATCATGTTTACTGAAATCTCCTTCAGCTGTGACCCAGTAAATGCTCTGTCGACGTCTCTCAAATCATCGACAGGGACACCACCGATTTTCTTACATTTACCCCCCAAAATTTTAGCTCGGCTGGCGTCACCTGGGGCCTCCGCTCAATTTCATTTCTCTCCAGTGATTAGGTCAGGAATCAAAATACACAAGACCAGGGGTGTCAAACTCATTTTGGTCCGGGGGCCGTATCCAACCGGATCAGAAATCTCATGTCATATAAACCCCAAAAATAACAATAAATTCAAATATTTGTGCAGAGAAACACAAATCTATTACAGAAATCTTTTTTAATTGATGAACTCTTTCTTTTACAAAATATTATAAAATTATGAAAAACCTGAAACTAAGAAAAATACAATTTCAATACAAAGTTTTAACATTAACTTGTATGTAAAGGAATAAGTGAATTTTTGTTGTAAAATCCTGCACTCGGCTCCACTTTTCTCATGTTGGACATTTTTCTGATGAGGGTGTCACGGTCAACAGTCAAAACGATCGTCCTTTAAGAGCGTTTGGAAAGAGACAAGTCTTCATTTGTGCTGCTCTGGTGGGAGGGGCCACGTACAGAGACACTGGAGACGCTGCTGTGATAAACACCACAGAAAATTACCAATATTTTAATAGAAAATATAATTAAAATATTTTAGTAGAAAATCAGCCGAGGGCCAGATTAAAGGTCTTGGAGGGCCGGATCCAGCCCCCGGGCCGTATGTTTGACACCCCTGCACTAGACGGTTTGCAAGAACCCTGGAAGTTGTAGACTGCACACCGGCCAATCAGCTGTGAGCTGTGAAGTCATAATGTCAAACTCGTGGCGTCTGTCTGTGTCCCTTTTGTGGAACAGCACAACAGTAAACAAAGCGTCGAGATGAATGTAGATGAAGAGAGACATTCTGTGTTGGCAACAATTCCCGAGATCAAAGATTTAAAGCCAGAACAAAGAGAATGTTTGGTGAATTTTATCAAGGGGAAAGACGTTATTGCCCTTCTTCCTGCAGGATTTGGTGCATTACATACGTCACCACCAAACAGCAGCGATTGGTTAGATTAAAAAAGTATCCGCCTACTGTCGAGCGAACAAATCCTAACACTGCGTGGTCAGACGGTTTGTACGAGGTGAAACCAGCTGATGAATCTGACTTTCCTTTGTGTAGAGCTTGTTCCACTTAGAAGTATAGTAAAGACAATTCGAGGACAACAGAGGCCAAATGTACAGAGCCTCAACTTCAGAGTCCAGCCATTCATCTGAGCTCCAGAAAGTTCACAAACAGATGCAGTTTGAATGGAGTCATCTTAGTCAGGCATTTTAGAAAAAATTGGCAGAAAAGATGAAGGGTTTTTAAAATGTAGACAGGCTAATAGTGCTGGATTACTCAAACATGTGTGAATGAAACAAAACACAACTCCAGGTCTGTTTTTGAGGAGATAACAACATTCCAACATGACTTAAAGCTCACAAGAGTCAACTTTGTGTAATGCAGGAACATTTTTAAAAAGACCAGAGACATCATTGCTCCATAGCTTTATTCCTCACTTCAAGTATAAAGAATATAATAAAAAGTACTGGCCCTCAGAAAACAGAGGGCCAGCTCCATAGCACCAGTAAAACATACAACAGATTCACAACAAATGTACAATTTGAACATTTATTTTTCAAATCACGTTTTGAAAGGTTTTGGCTCCTTGTGGAGTGAAGTGCCTTCCACAAATCGACTAGTTTCAAATTATTATATTTAAATATTATTCTAAAATGTGTTTACAATTACAAAATACTATGAAAGGCCCATAACATGAACTGACTGGTGGAAATGTGAAAGTGTCCATCTTGAAAACAAAAACACACGTGTGTCAGTTTGTCCGAGCGTAAGAACAGTTATGAACAGGAGCAAAAGCAGAAGCTGGTTTCATCAAAAAGGTCAAGTTTAAAGGTGCACTATGTCACTTTTCTGCTGGAGGGTTTGTCTTTACATAAATGTTTTGCTTTGCCTGAAATGTTCCACAGTATTGCTTTAAAACTACCATCTGTAAATTTATTAGATTTTTGTTTTTTCACCAGTAGATGTCAGATGTAAAAGCTTTTCCCTTTCCCCTCACCCTCCTCCTCTCCCCTCACCTGGCCCCTCCTCTCTCCTCACCTGGCCCCTCCTCCTCTCCCCTCACCTGGCCCCTCCTCTCTCCTCACCTGGCCCTCCTCCTCTCCCCTCACCTGGCCCCCTCCTCTCTCACCTGGCCCTCTCCTCTCCCTCACCTGGCCCCTCCTCCTCTCCCTCACCTGGCCCCTCCTCCTCTCCCCTCACCTGGCCCCTCCTCCTCTCCCCTCACCTGGCCCCTCCTCCTCTCCCCTCACCTGGCCTGACCTTTTTCCAGCCACATTTACATAAGAATAGTATTCATGTCTGAGCTGGAATCACAGGTTAATAAACACTGAGGCTACATCCACACAACAATGCTCCTGGATTTTTTTCCTTTGTAGGTTGAAAAAAATGTGCATCCACACACACGTGCCGGATCAGTAAATATTCACGTCCACACGACAATGGAGCACAGAGTGAAAACGATGTAATACATGTGCCACACCTGTATGTGGCGCTGTTAACAGTGATAATAATATTTAATAATGCAAATCTCATCACTGATTTTTAAAACTTTAAGGTAATTTAGCTGATGTTTAGATGTATCCCAGAAATACAGCTGTTTTGTTTTGCAAAAGTTAAACGTAAGTCACAGAAAGAACCCATATAATCCACTGAGTCGTGTCCTTTAGTCCGACAGAAGCTGAACTGCATCAGCGACACAACAGTGAACTGCTTTTTGAACGATTAGTTTATGCAAATTAGCCATGTGGTTTTATGTTTCGTTTCTGTAAAACATAAACAAATATGCTCAAAGCTGAAGATCATTTCTGATAAGCAGTGTTGGGGAGTAACAGATTACATGTACTGGAGTTACGTAATCAGAGTACAAATTATGAGTAACTGTATTCAGTTACAGTTACTGTTTCAATGAGTGGTAATTGGATTACAGTTACTTAGTTTTGTTTTTTTTCCTTGGTAATTCCACTCATTGCTTGAAACTAAACCAGAACTAAACCAGGTCTAAACCAGGACTAAACCAGGACTAAACCAGGACTAAAACAGGACTAAAACAGGATTTAACAGGACTAAATCCTGCTGCGCAGACGTGTCTCTTCTTCTATCAATAATATTTTAAATTTGGTTCTGTAAAGTCTGGGCTTTTTATTTTTTTTAGCAGACAAAACATCTTATGTGAAGATATCCTCGTCTTTGCTTCTCTACAGCAAATCGAGTAATCCAAAGTATTCAGATTACATTACTCACCTAAAGTAACTTAATGGATTCCCATTACAAACTACATTTTGGTGTATGTAATCTGTAATCTGCAGGGGGATACATTTGAAAAATAACCTTCCCAACACTGACGTAATCTGTGGTGTGTGTTGTTAGTGTGTCTCAGATGCTGGGTGACAGGAGCAGCTCTGTAGGCTACACCTGTCCCATTTTGACAAAGCTCTTGTGGTCTGTGGAGGAGAGTTCGAGGGCTGGGGGCTTCGCTGCATTGGAGGACTCTGGCGATGACGGGATCGTGACGTCATCGTTTTCCAAAAGCTGCGGTTTGCTCGTCCACACAACAACATCAGATTTCTCCACTCTGGAACCCGTTCTCAAAAAACTCTGGCTCCGTGTGGACGAAAGGCCAAAACGAATACAAACTTCTCCGTTTTGACCGTTTTGTCGCGTGGACGGCCCCTGATAATGATCTAGTGGAGCTATGTGAGAATGCGACAGGGGCGGGTCAGCCAGTTTAACTCCACATGGTGCCTTTAAACTGTTCTGATCTCCGATAAAACACCCGCAAATAAATAAGTGCTAGATGGCTACGTTTAATGCCGTACTGTGGAACCTCTACATGAGAACATACTGTACATAGTGCACCACAAACCTACTTTATTCAGACGTAAGTATCATTACTACATCTCTGCTTTGGTATTTACCTAAGAAGAATGACTCACGGTTTTATAAGAGTAAAATATTAAAATGCCAGAAGGGGGCGCCAGAATGCAATAAGCAAAAACATTCCATTCCTTTCCCTATTCACTATGCAACGTTTTGGAGTGAAAAAAAATCTGAGCTCAGCCAGAATCAATTGTACGAGTTTTATGAGTACTTTTAAATCACTTCTATTTTCTATCATGATTAATTTAACTGTAAAAGAGTGCTGACATGAGAACAAAGAGTATTTTTCTGGCCCGAACGACGCAGATTAAAACCGTGGACCTGAGGTAAGGCGAGAATGGCGACGTAGCAGCGTTTTGTCAGAGGAAGAAAAGTATGAATGCAGATAGACACACGTGAGGGGCTTTTCAAACTGCACTGAAAACATCTTAAGTTATCCACGATCTCCACGGCGACGAAAGGGTCTAATAATAACCCAGTCTCTTTGCAACAGGCAGGAAACCCAAATGAAGTCCAGTGAGAAGAGAGTGAAGTGTAGCTGTTGGTTTGTTTTGTTCTGTTGGAGTCCCCCTTTAAGTTGCTTCAGATGCTTCAGTCCTGGGTTCTGGAGACTTGGACCCAGCAGATTCCTCTCCTCTCCGGTCCGGTTCTGTGGTTCTCTGGGTCCATGGATGTGTGGATCTGGTTGAGTTCTGCTGTGGTCTTTACCTGTGTGTGACCTGGTTATTGAGGAGACCGGGGAATGTCTGCTCGGTCTCCTCGCTCAAGGAACCGCCTGCAAAAAAGATTAAGAATAAAATAAATAAAATTAGAACCTAAACCTGACTAACATCCCACTCGGCTAATGGGCTGAAATGTCTTGCCCAAGGACACAAGGTAGTATCTGAGCAAACATGACAAAACTCTGACAGGTGAGACTACTCATTTAACTAACACAAATTTCGTTATATTTAAGATTTATGCAAAAACATTCACACTGGTTTTCCCAATTTGGCGTTTTTAGAGATTTTAAATTTTACATCCTGGTTTGGGAATCGTGAAATCACACTAGGGAAATTAATAATTATCTAACAAAGATAAGAAAACACCTTTATTTTGTTTAAATCGTGTTAAAAATGTGTTTCTTGTGTGTAAACTGTGCCGAACTTTAGGACAAAATTCTCCTAGTGTGATGTCAGGGATTCTCTGAAATAGAACTCTCTTCTTCCTGTAGTTTTCAACATTTTTTTGTTTGTTTTTTTTGTTAACTAACTAAAATGTATTTGTACAATGGTTATTATCTACGGTGACCAGCAAGTGCAAAACCCTTTTACTTTATTTCACAACACACATTAACAAGTTTGAAAACAAAATTACATTTAAAATACACAGTTACATCTTGAAAACAAATTCCAAGTTTCATAAAACACATTTGCAAATGAGTAAACACATTTACAAAACACTAAACATTTGTACAAGTGCCGAGACAAATTTACATGTGGCAAAAACACAAATACAAACCCCCGAAACAAATTAACAAGAAAGTTCTGGACGGAAAAGGAATGTCCTAAAGCGAATGCCGGAAATAACGAACGACTGTGATGTTAGTTTTGCTCAGTAGTTCACAAATGTGTCGTCGTTGTTCTCTTTTACGTTTTTCTTCCCTTGATAGTTGTGGATAAATTCTTCATGAACAGAATGTTTATCCTTTGTGGATCTTGTTGGATGAGGATTTGGTGATGGGGCAGATTTATGAAGCTGGTGGAAAATACCCCAGACAATTGCACAGATATTTTGCCAAAGAAAAGCATTAACCTGAAGTGATGTTTACCCGACATCGCGGCACTTCCGGCCGTTGGGAAAAAGGTCTATGTGTTTCGGGGGTTTGGATTTGTGTTTTGGCCACATGTAAATTTGTCTCTGTGCTTGTACAAATGTTTCGTGTTTTGTAAATGTGTTTGCTCATTTGCAAAAGTGTTTATGAAACGTAAATTTATTTTCAAGATGTAAATGCATATTTTAAATGTAATTTTGTTTTCAAACTTGTTAATGTGTGTTGTCATATGTAAAAGGGTTTTGCACTTGCTGGTAAACGGAATGGTCCAACCAAATTAAGCAGAAATGAGAGAATCATAAAAAACGTAAAGACGCATTATGTAACTTTTTTGTTGGGGTTCTGTCACCTGCTTGTTTCTATGGTTACATCATTGCTCTGTCTGGAATGTTCCAAAGTATGACTTAAAACAGCTCTACTTTACATTTATTCAATTACAGGTGGTTTTATTACTCAAGGATATCTTAAAAATCATACATTCTGACTGAGAGAGGGGTCGCCTCTCCACAGATCTGACCTCTAACTTCTGGTTTGGTTTAGAAAGGTTTAATGCCATATTGCAAAACATCCAGACAAAATAATAACAAATCCACAGAGAAAAGTGTTTGACGGAGCCTCCACCAGAAAAGTTACACAGTGCACCTGTAAATAAAGGTCAGTAATAATAATCCCTGTAGCCTAGAGTTACATTTCTAGAAGATTCTGTCTCACCGTTGTGACAGTTGTACATCCAGATCCTATGTCCGTCATATCGACACCTGCACTTCACGATGTTATTGGAGTAATCTGACTCGGGAACCTCGTAGTTTGGGTTTATCACGATCTATAAAAGAAAAAAAGAGACAATAATTTACACCAAAAAAGTACACAGTGAAATACTTGAAATACTAAAAGAGAAAAACAGTGAGAGATACAAGACTACATCCATATCCTGTAACAGATAATACTCCCTACAACTGTAAAACTCACCCTTATGTAACAGATAATACTCCCTACAACTGTACAACAACTCACCCTGATGTAACAGATAATACTCCCTACAACTATACAACAACTCACCCTGATGGAAAAGATAATACTCCCTACAACTGTACAACAACTCACCCTGTTGTAACAGATAATACTCCCTACAACTGTACAACAACCCGCCCTCATGTAACAGATAATACTCCCTACAACTGTACAACAACTCACCTTTATGTAACAGATAATACTCCCTACAACTGTTCAACAACTCACCTCTATGTAACAGATAATACTCCCTACAACTGTACAACAACTCACCCTGATGGAAAAGATAATACTCCTGTAACCCTAAAATGTTGTTGTTACCAGTCTCTTAAGGCTGTGGGTGTGTCGGGTTACACTGAGATGTTATAATTGTAAGTTCTTGTAGGTTTCCTTGCTACAAAAAACCAACACGGCAGGACAGTGTCCTATATGCTTTATTGAGCAACACTTCTCTCTCTCTGCGCGCAGTGCACGTTCTCTTCTATCCACACCGGTGCGCTCCCCAAAAACGCTCCACTGAAACAACTAAACAACATAAAAGAACCCAACACAATGCAACAATGAACTGTTAATAAAATAAATGCTAAATAATATTAATTAATTATCCAAGCAATATATAAAATAATAATCACACAAATTTATATTAATAAATAAAATAATATGCATCAAAATAAATCAAAGGTTACACTCCCTACAACTATACAACAACTCACCCTGATGGAAAAGATAATACTCCCTACAACTGTACAACAACTCACCCTGATGGAAAAGATAATACTCCCTACAACTGTACAACAACTCACCCTGATGGAAAAGATAATACTCCCTACAACTGTACAACAACTCACCCTGATGGAACAGATAATACTCCCTACAACTGTACAACAACTGACCCTTCATTCAGTCGGGTTGTGTCCAGTTAAACACCTGTCGCCGTACGCCGTTGTTTTCCCAACTCTCCCAGTGCATTGTGGGAAATTTTGAGTGCACTACTTTTTCACCAACTGGACATTTAGACACCCCTGAAAATGTTGTCACCCCTAAACTGTGCACTAAGTAGAGAGTAGTGTGAATATTCGGACACACCCTCAGTCTAAGTGTAAAAACAGCGCAGTCCAAGTGAGATTACCTGGAAGATGTAGTCTCCGGGTTTGACGTCAGTGATGTCCACCCACTGACAGTCGATATCGTGTCTGTACGTGTCCCAGCAGCCCACCGTGATCCCCTGGTCCCCGAAGTTTGCACATTCATAGCGCTTCTCAATACCTGGAACATGCAACAAGCAACAGAGCTACAGTTAACAATTGAACACAAATGCAGTGTTCCCTCATTTATCACGGGGGTTACATTCTAAAAATAACCCATGATAAGTGAAAACATCAAAGTAGTCAATTTAATATTTTACAATGATTATATCTGTGTTAAGTCTGTAAAAGCCCTCAGCACAAACTTTATACACTTTGAAATTCATACACAACTTTATACACAATTGAAATTCATTGTGTGTATAGTGAGTGTGTTGTGTGTATAGTGTGTGTGTTGTATGTACAGTGTGTGTGTTGTGTGTATAGTGTGTGTGTGTATGTGTGTGTATGTATAGTGTGTGTTGTGTGTATAGTGTGTGTGTTGTGTGTATAGTGTGTGTGTTGTGTGTATAGTGTGTGTTGTGTGTATAGTGTGTGTGTGTGTATGTGTATAGTGTGTGTGTTGTGTGTATAGTGTGTGTGTTGTGTGTGTGTGTGTGTGTGTGTGTGTGTGTGTATAGTGTGTGTTGTGTGTGTATAGTGTGTGTGTTGTGTGTATAGTGTGTGTGTTGTATGTACAGTGTGTGTGTTGTGTGTATAGTGTATGTGTGTGTGTGTATGTGTGTGTGTGTGTGATGTGTGTGTGTGTGTGTATGTATAGTGTGTGTGTGTGTATGTATAGTGTGTGTGTTGTGTGTATAGTGTGTGTGTGTTGTGTGTGTATGTGTGTGAGTGTGTGTTGTGTGTATAGTGTGTGTGTGTGTGTATGTATAGTGTGTGTGTGTGTGTATAGTGTGTGTGTTGTATGTATAGTGTGTGTGTTGTATGTATAGTGTGTGTTGTGTGTATAGTGTGTGTGTTGTGTGTATAGTGTGTGTTGTGTGTATAGTGATGTAGTGTGTGTGTTGTGTATGTATAGTGTGTGTGTTGTATGTATAGTGTGTGTTGTTGTATGTATAGTGTGTGTGTTGTATGTATAGTGTGTGTGTTGTGTGTATATGTGTGTGTGTTGTGTGTATAGTGTGTGTTGTGTGTATAGTGAGTGTGTTGTGTGTATAGTGTGTGTGTTGTATGTATAGTGTGTGTGTTGTGTGTATAGTGTGTGTGTGTTGTGTGTATAGTGTGTGTGTTGTGTGTATAGTGTGTGTGTTGTGTGTATAGTGTGTGTGTTGTGTGTATAGTGTGTGTGTTGTGTGTATAGTGTGTGTGTGTTGTGTGTATAGTGTGTGTGTTGTGTGTATAGTGTGTGTGTTGTGTGTATAGTGTGTGTGTTGTGTGTGTATAGTGTGTGTGTGTTGTGTGTGTATACAGTGTGTGTGTTGTGTGTACAGTGTGTGTGTTGTGTGTACAGTGTGTGTGTTGTGTGTACAGTGTGTGTGTTGTGTGTATAGTGTGTGTGTTGTGTGTATAGTGTGTGTGCTGTGTGTACAGTGTGTGTGTTGTGTGTATAGTGTGTGTGCTGTGTGTATAGTGTGTGTGTTGTATGTATAGTGTGTGTGTTGTGTGTACAGTGTGTGTGTTGTATGTATAGAAGTGTACTGGTGTTGTGTACTTTTGTGTGATTGTTGCTGTACTTTTCCTTGTCCTATAGATGATTTTACTCAACCTGCCGAGGGACTGAAGATGGAAATTAGCCACGCTGACTATAATCTTTATGTTCATTAATATGTACTGTCCCTTTACAAATACATAAGTAAGAAATAAGAAATATTCTGTAATGAAACCCTACAGCGCAGAGTCCTGCATGGGTCCATTTTTGGAGACCGGGTCCATTTCTGGAACTGATGCTGAGTCTGAAGACAGAGACACAGAAGAGGAAGCGGAGCTCTGTTTACCTCCAGAGGCTGAGGCAGAGTTGTTCAGAAGTGACACCGAGGATGAAGAATTCAATGGATTTAGAGATTTGGAGTGAGATGGAGAGTTTGGTAAACTTATATTGTTTATGCTATAATTATTATATTATAATTATCAGAATAACTGTTAATAACTATTCAGTCTGTTGTTCTCTGTTCTGTTGTTATTACTAGAACTTGCCTTTCAAGATGAAATGTCAGTTCATGGTTTCTGATTTTATAAAATACATTTCCCCAAAAAGTGCGACTTATAGTCCAGTGCAACTTTTGTTTTTTTCTTCTTCGTTGTGCATTTTTTGGCTTGTGCGACTTTTACTCCAGAGTCACTTATAATCCTGAAAATACAGTATTTTTATTTTGTGTATAGTTCCCTTGTCTTTCTTTGTGTGTTTCTGTGTGTCCTGAAAAGAACAATACATGTAGCTATTTCAGCACTTCTCCTTTTACTACATAATTCCATACAGCTTACTTTATATGTTTGATCTCTTCTGTTTGTATATCGACTGTAGATATACAGACATTGAATGAGTCCAAACTTTTGACTGGTAGTGTATGCATTATAAATTATGAGAAAATCTGTTCTCATCTCGTGTCTCATTGTCAGGTTTGGTTTGTACCTTCGTCGCACTCGGAGTCCTCCAGGCAGAAGCTGGCCTTGTGTCCCTCAGCCACTTTGGTCCCGTTGAGGCTGTACAGGTCGTAGAGCGTGAACACCTCCATGCTGTGGTAGTGTCTGCACACACACAAAAACACATCTTTAGATCTGCACACAAACACAACTACAGGATTAGACACCACACTCTGATTAGGCATGAATGGATGAACCTTTCTTCGACCAGGAGAGTCTCAGTGAGGTTTCTGGTCCAGAGGAGAGGAGCCTTCTGGACATGTTTTTAGTGGAAAGGGAAACCGGAGCACTGAGGTAAATCCTTAAGAGAAATAACATTGCATATATGTATATACAAAACAAATAGCGAGGAATTTCCAACTAATTTCCAAGCAATTTCTGGATACCAATTCTCTCTGCACATTTTATTGTTCTCTAAAAACTATAAATACCTTCAAAACTGCATTAAAATCCCTATCAGTGCTTCAAAAAAGAGAAATAAGAGTAATCCACAAAGTTGGATATTTGGCTGTCGCAGTTAGGGAATTTCTCCTGTGGTGTGGTTTAGTGGATCAACAGTGCGGTATGAGGTGATCATCTATCCTCTTCACCACAACGGTCCAGTACAGTGACTGCTGCACACCGCTGCACTGATCCACTTGTCAATCCTATATATCCTGGGAGGTATTCCGGGCACGTCCCACCGGAAGGAGACCCTGGAAAGACCCAGGACACGCTGGAGGGACTATGTCTCTGGGCTGACCTGGGAATGCCCTGGGGTCCCCCCGGAGGAGCTGGAGGAAGTGTCCAGGGTGTAGCATGTCTGGGAGTCCCTGCTTAGACTGCTGTCTCCATGACCCGGCTCCGGATAAGCAGAAGAAAATGGATGGATGGACAGTTCTTTATACTGAATTAAACTGAATGGTCTTCTCCAATTTTCCACAGCCAAACTCAACTCAATACACATAAAACTGAAATAAACACATAACTTCTTCTGTTTAATTGAACTTATAAACTGACAGTTGAATAAAATTGTACAGAGCAGTTTTCAGACATCATTATTTTACTGCTTCTTCTGTAATATATTTGACAATGTAACAGTAGTGCTACTCGAGTAAAGGTTTTGTTTTTCTCACACCGCTCCTTCAGATATGATCTAATTTACTATTTTTGAGAAATTTCTTGGACCATGACTTCATATACATATACTTTAAAATGTGCATTGTATAACTTCTCCGAGGAGATGTTATTGCTTTGACTGGAATGTTTCACAGTATGGACCAAGTTACCGGTCAGATCTGTGGAGAGGCGACCCCGCACACAGTCAGAATGTTGTTTTTCCTAGGTATTTTTGAGCTCTAAACCATCTGTAATTGAATAAATGTAAAGTAGAGCTGTTTAATGCCATACTGTGGAACATTCCAGACAGAGCAAAGACAAATCCATAGAAACAAGGAGGTGACGAACCCCCAAACCGAAAAGCTACACAATGCACACCTGCTTTTGGCGTCTGGATTTTCATTTCCTTAGTTGGACATGATAAGACCACAAACCAAATTATTGTTTTATTGTTGCATAACTAAACTTAAAACATCGTAAAGAAGCATTGTTCTCGCTCTGAACATTTGTGAGCTTGTTTAGTCTGCGTCTGCTGCCATTCCAATCATATAAAGAGCTCCGGTTGCTATAGTAACCTGCCAAACCTCACTTAATCTCCATCCTTGACCCAGACCACAGACGCAAGGGAGGTGATTACAGCCCGGCCAAATGAATGGAGCCTCTTCAGGAGCGGGCGGAGTCAGCAAATCTTAAATTATATCTTAGGTTAAAAAAGAAATTCAAAAAGGGGAAAGCACTAATAATCTGGAAATAATACTTTTATCATTCTCCACACGAGCACATTTGGTTTGTGAGTGCATGGGATAAAACACCTCTTTATAATAATTGAGTTACACCTCGTGAGAAGTTCCAAAATGCAGTGGTACAATTTGAGCAGTACTGGATAAGTTCTGATGACTTTTCTGGACCAATACATGCGTCACGAATTTTGGACTATGGTCATTGTGCAATACATACTGGGATGGATTTTCCAAAAAAGTGAGTATCAAACTGCCATGTTTGTTTTCCCAGTGGGATGCGTCTATTGACGAAAGCCAGTCTTTTCAAGACTTTTGAACCATATCACGTTTGTTTCTGGTTCTGATATTGTCATAGTTTAGTTTTTGGATTTGGACATCGTAATTGTGTGGTTGTTGGATGTTGGAACAGCTGAAAACAGCTCGAGAAATTTGTTTGCGAACTCCATAAATGCAAAAGGGAATTAGATGTGTGTGACTCAAACCTCTGTTTAAACTGTTTCCCTTCCCAATGGAATTGAAAAATAGTGAAAGGTGAAGGTGATGGGCAGGGCTTAAATCATCCCGAGTTTACAGTGAACATTTTGTATGTTTAACATTATGACAATGTCTTTTTATACTTTATAAATGAAAGAAATAGTGGAGAGTTTCATCCACTTTTATTCTCTGGCTTTTAACACCACATGAGATGTGTGCTCCTCTGTGTTTTTTATTTCATTTTTATGTTTTTTTACCTTTTTATTATTTATTGGTGTTCTTATTTGATTTTATTAGTTTTAGTTTTATTAGCTTTTAACGAGGTCTAGTGGAGTTAAGTAGAGCTTTGTTTTATACTTCTATTGGATATGTTTTATTTCTATTGTGCAGCACTTTGGAAATGGTTTTGTTAAATGTGCTATAGAAATAAAGTGGATTGGACTGGATAAATAAACAAATAAAATAAAGTAAATACAATTTACAGCCCCCTCTCTCTAGGTACATGTAGCAGCTTTAGCAGAGCCCCTCACCTGTGACAGTCGTGCCAGACCCAGCTCTCGCGGTGGGCTTTGGGCCTGAAGTCGGACTGTCCGTTGTTGTGGATCTGTGAGGAGAACCGTAGCAGGCGGCGGTAGGAGTTGGCGGGCACAGAGCTGGAGGTGGAGGCCAGGCAGTTCTCCTCATAGGCACACTGCAGCATGAACATGGGTCTGTCCTCCATGTACGTGCTCTGCTCCACCACCTGAGGGTTAAGCACCAGGTCTGGGGCCGCTGGGCACAGAGAGAGAGAGAGGGCACCGTTAACATGACACTGTTAATGGAGAGAGTAGAACATTTATTATTTGTATATTGAGTAAGTCAGTACACAAGTACACAGTTTCAAAGGCACAGTTGTTTCCACACTGTCACTAGTTCAGGAGATGTAAAAGAGCAGCGTGAACATGTCAGTCACATTCTGATTCACATTAAAGAGCTGCACTGAGAGAGCTTCTAACACAAGGTCTCAGAGTGGCTCCTCTCACTCTCTGGAGCGGGGTGAGTGCAGTGTGAACGTGGTTGAATCGGGCCAATCTATGCAGTCTGTGCTGACAGTAACAGTGCTTGGAATTAGATCAAATAAAGCTTGGTTCATGTATATTTGAATGAATGAGAACTGCAGAGCTGCTGTTTGACATGTTCGTCTAACAAGAAAATGATGAGTTTGTCTGTGCAGATGAGTCTGGTTCTGTCTGAGCAGGTGAGTCTGTCTGAGCAGGTGAGTCTGACTGCGCAGGTGAGTCTGACTGCGCAGGTGAGTCTGTGTCTGTCTGCGTGTCTTTAAAAAGCTTTCCTCTGCTGTCATGTGTAGAGTTCTCATGGTGTATTTAGCCAGAAATGAAAGAAAGGACCCTGGTGTAGGCTCGAGGGGAAGTGTGCGTGTGCATATTCACAGGGCTCTGCTTACTTGAAGCACATTGTCATGGAGATACGTTCTGCAGTCAGCTGATGGCTTCTCATGTGGCTCACGGTGCGTGTTTGGGGTGAATGATGCACCGTGTATGTGAACAAGACTGATCCAAAAGTAAAGTAAACAGAACTAAACCTAGTGCCACTGGAGTCAGTCCAGACATGTGTGATAATGACCTTAGACGGACTGGCTCGTCAGTGCTCAGTCTGTAATTGTCACAGGTGAAAATGTTGATTATAAAACATTTTTAACACTTGCCTGATAAAAAAACACAAACCAATCAGAGTAAAGCTACTGAGCCCACATCACCCCAGTTTATTTGTATTATTTTAAAAATGTGATAAAAGGAAAGTTGGCTTCTTCAAGACAACCTTGTGTGTCTTACTCTCTGAGCAGGAGACCCCGGCTGAATAGCGCCCCCCTCCTCTGGGACACTGCAGGTGCGCTCCGTGGTGCAGACAGTGGGACAGGGACATCTCTGTACCGGAGCATTTGACTCCACTCATCACCACAGCGTCTGCGCTCACCTGCCCCGCCCAGTACCACGTCTCCTGTGGAACCAAAAGCACATATCAGCCTCAGGCCCGGGCACAAACACGATCTAACTGTGGCTGTACGAGAGCAGTTAGATTCTCCTCAGGGCAAGTCAATGTTTCCCCACTGTTGTCTTTGTATATGAACTAAATTAACTTAAAGGTGCTGCCACAGACCAAGTTACATGCCTGATCTGTGGAGAGGTGATCCCACTGTGAGAAGGCACATTTTTAGGGTATTTTTGGGCAATAAAACACAGATATATGATGTAGATATATAGTTAACTAATGACATGTCCAGGCAAATGTTCTCAAAACTATTATGGTACTTATCTCTATGTATCTGACCCAAACTGCACTCACAAGACTACCCCCTGTGATCTTTTTTTTAACATATATCTTTTTTTTTTTACATTTAAATACATACCAAATCTTCATCTAACTCTCTGACCAGCTTCTCCTTTCTGATGTTGTCTCATAAATCCTTTAATACATTTGACTTGCTTCATGAATTGAGGTTAAAACATGAAAGCCCAACTCCAGATGTTTTACAGTTTATGGTTAAAAAATAGGACCATTAATCATTCATCTCATCCAATTTCACTTTTCACTGTCCAGGTTCACCCGCAGAATTGCAGTAAAAGTCCCTGTGCTCCTATAAACAGCAGTCTGGGCCTGTGGGCAGAACATCACTGTCATCAGAAGAACCATGATTTCCTGTACAAGACCCACTATTACCACACAGTTTAAGGTGCACTGTGAAACTTTTCTGGTGGAGGGTCCGTCAAATGCTTTTCTCCATGGAGATGTTATTGCTTTGTCTGGAATGTTGCACACTATGGCATTAAACCTTTCTATCTTTATGGAAACCAAGCCAGACCACGTTACAGGTCAGATTTGTTTAGAAGCAACGCCGTTCACAATCAGAATGTCTGTTTTTCTAGGTACCGTATTTTCTGGACTATCAAGCGCAGCTGAATATAAGCCGCAGCTGTCCACGTCTTCAAGAACGTTATGAAGTTTGGGCCGTCTGCTTTTATCGCCTCAAAGCTTTGGTCGTCTTTTTGAGTTGATTCAGTTCATCACGCTGTTGTCGCCAAAATCTCACCATCGAATCACTAATGTCGAGCTCACGTGCAGCAGCTCTGCTTCCTTCTTCGACAGACACATCATTCGCCTTTAACTTAAAAGCTGCATCATCTTCATTTGTGTGTTTTCCATGAGGAGGGTGTGTGCATGAAACACAAAATAACTGTTCAAAACCAGTGTTGAGAGTAACACGTTATAAAAGTAACAAATTACTGTAATGCATTACTTTTTGCTGTAAAGCAGTAATGTGGCATTACAGGGATAAAAATTGTAATATTGTCACCAATGCAAGTTACACTGCTGTGGTGAAACGCCAGAGACACGCCCGCTTAGACCGTCAGGTAACCGTGGGCGAAAGGACCAACGTAGAACTCCACACTGTTTAGCCCTAGTTTAGTCCTGGGTCAGTTCTGGTTTAGTCCTGGTTTAGTCCTGGTTCAGTCCATATACGGTGTAAGAGTTCAGCATCTTTACAGTTATTTTGGTGAGAGTAACTTAAAAGTAATGCAATAGTAATGTAATGTTTTACATTTTAAACACAGTGAAATTGTAATGTAACGAATGACTCTGAAATGACAGTAACAAGTCATAAATAACACATTACAGTTTTAAAGTCACTTGCCCAACAGTGTTCAAAACACAATCAAACAAGCATCTTCCTTTGCGCATCACCCCCGTCTCTCCCTGCGCTCTACTGCGCATGTCTCCTGCTCGAGCCGCTGTCCTGTCTGTATCATGACAGAGTCTCTCAGCAGATTTCAGGCTCTCCTGGGGGCGGGGCTAGTTGTGTCGATCAGGTGTGAGTGGATGTTCGGCTACTGAAGTTTCTTCTCGTCATTTACGCTCACGGGTAAAACGTATCCCCCTCACTAATGCTAAATAATCTATTTGAGTGCACTGACAATATCACTAGCTAGTGTAGCAACTTCATGTGAACCCTAGATCCCTGTGTTACCTGCACAAACAGTGACGTTTTCTGCACCATAGACCGTTTATATGAATGTGCCAAACAAAGAATCTGTCCATATATTTGCCACATTGTTTTATTAACTGCAGGGTTCTAAATGTGAGAAAAAAAGTAGCGGCTTGGACTTTAAGGTATTTTTGAGCAGTAAAATCACTTGTGATTTGTGTAAAGTCATATCGTGGAACATTCCAGGCAGAGCAATGACATATCTACAGAAACAAGCAGGTGACAGAACCCCAAATTAAAAGTGACCACTTTAAGTTTATTGCCATATTGTGTAAAGTGATACTGACATCTCCATGGATACAAGAAGGTGATGTTAGTAGTGCAACTTTAATTTAAAATATTCATTAATGCCATCTTTTGTAATGTTTTGGTTATAAAAATAGTTCTCAGTAGCCACATTTTTTTAAACCTCATAATATTGTTTTCTCTTCAAAAACATACCTGGGCTTTTGTGTTCTTTCATTTGGAGTTCATTTGGGGTGCAGATGGAATCCTTGGACTCTCTGCTTGTATTTTAAGATACTAAGACCAAAGCCAAGTACTAAAAGCCAGAATATTGCATAATATATTGTATTTTGCATTCTTGTCTTTTTTAAAGGTCCTATATTATGCAAAGTTGACTCTTGTGAGCTTTAAGCCACGTTAGAAACACCCAAAGTTGTGCTCTGTTTCATTCAAACATATGTAATGAGACTGAACATGCATCTCTATGGGAGAATGTTCAGCAGTTACCATGGAGACACAATGTCCACCTAAGCAAACACTGTCAAAAAGTTTTAAAGGGACAGTTCAGAATTTTGGACATAGGGCCTCATTTCCTAGTGAGCCACAGTGTTGGAGACGTGTGGAGACACTTTTTAATATTCCATCCAGTCCTTGTATTTGCAGAGGTCACTGGTGCTAGACTAGTGCATGTCAATGGTCATAGTCCTGCCACTAAAAACAGTTTTACCCACTCCACAAAACACCCAAAGAAAATCTATTATTACTCCAGACTGTCCATGTGAATGTCTGAGTCAACAGAATAATTTTAGAAGTAAAACCAAACTTGTATTTGAAGGATTTCTGTGTGAGCAGCAGTGAGTTGTACTTCCTGATAGAAAGTTTGGCAGAGGCGGACTAATATCACCTAACACCAACTGGCTCTGGAATAGTTTGTTTACCTGCAGTTGCAATAGCGACACATAAAGCACAGGAAGAAGCCTGTTCCAGATATGGCCATGTTCATATATCACAGCTCACTAGAGCAAAAGAGTAAAACTCAGCTGCTGCTGAGAGAATAGTCCCTCAATGTGCAAAGATTCATGCAATACAAGGTTAGTTTTACTTCTAAAATGATTCTATCGACACAGACATTTACATGGACAGTTTGATGTAATAATAGATTTGTTGTTCAAAAAAGTTGAGTGACTAAGCTAACACTAGGCTAAGACTAAATAGTTTTGTGTGAGAGAGTTGTTTCACATGACCTGATGAAGATCCACTGATCAAAACACTGTCATTCATTAAAAGCAATTTGGGAGTAAGTGTGCAGGCTTTGTCTCACTTTCTAAACTTGTTTAACAGCACAAACCATCTCACCTGTTGTAGTTCCAACTAAGTCAGCTCTTTCTCAGATAAAAGTCTAACCTGAGTAACAGAGCTCCAGACAGAGTAATACCTTCAGTTAACATCACACCTGCAGGAAGTGAGTGAGTGAGTGCACCCTCACCTGGAAGGCGTTGCTGGCGAAGCCCAGTCCGAGCTGTCTGCAGACCACCATGGCCTCCATGACTCCCCAGCCCTGACTGCACACTGTGCCCCAGACCAGAGAGCCGTTCTTCTCCGTCAGCACCTCCACCCGGCCCTCGTACGGAGACCGGCCCCCGCTCAGACGCAGCTGCAACACACACAAGGCTTCCCATTTCATTTGCAGTTTAGACACAGGCCGTAGAGTTATTGGTGGTTTTCAGAAAGTGTAACATCGCATACACAAGCTTAGAAACAGGATAAATGCACTGTGGATCTGGCCCCTGTAACCTTACACTCCAATGAGTTTAAAAAGCCCTTTGTGTAAATCTGCCTAAGTCTTTTGTTTGGAGTACAGTGTGCACAGCCCCAGTGGCCTAATGGATAAGGCACTGGCCTCCTAAGCCAGGGATTGTGGGTTCGAGTCCCATCTGGGGTGTCTTTCAGCAGAGTGGCGCAGCGGAAGCGTGCTGGGCCCATAACCCAGAGGTCGATGGAAACCATCCTCTGCTAAACTCAGTTTGTAAAGGCTAATTTAAGTTTATTTTTACTGCAATGAGGTGATCACAGCCCCAGTTGCCTCAGGGATAATGCATCTCATTTCATTTGCAGTTTAGACACTGGCTGTAGAGTTATTGGTGGTTTTCAGATTCTCTTCATCCAGTTTTTCCTACTGATTACATGCTACTTTCATGACAAATATCTAAAAAAGTATATTTACAAATGTTAAACCTGATTATTTCTATTAGTGACTAGACCCAAGAACTCACTGTATGACAACAAAAATCTGTACTGTGTTTTTTGGACTATAAGTCAGGCTGTTTTTCATGGTTTAGGTGTTTCCTGCAACTTATACTCCGAAACGACTTATATATTAACATTTTCAGACTGACAGCAGCGAGAGGCTCTAGGCTCGTGTGTCAGTATCTAGTACTACTATTACTCCTGTACCACTGTCACTTCACTCTCTACTGTGCATGTCTCCTGTAGAAATAGCTGCTGTCTCACTGCAATTAGTGAAATATTCACCTGAAAACGGTAATCGAGCAACAGAAAGAAAGTTTGGAGTGAGCGAGAAACTTCTGATTGACTGGCGGAAAGCGGGAATGGAGAACACAGCTTCATGGGAAACAGGAGGATGCGCCATGTAACTTTTCTGAAGTCATTGGATGAATGGATAAAGCCTGGACTTCAGTGACACCGAAACCATCCTGTCGGGATTCAGAAAGGCCGGAAGAATTCTAACTGGAACTGATGCTGAGTCTGACAACAGCGACACAGAAGAGGAAGCGGCGCTCTGTTTACCTCATGGATCTGTGGTTTATCTCAAGAGGTCGAGCAGAAGTGACACCGAGGATGAAGAATTGAATGGATTTAGTGATTTGGAGCGTGATCGTGAGTTTGGTAAACTTATAATCTGTTGTTTATGTTATAATTATCTGAAGAACTGTTCATATGTTACGTTAACATATTAATTTCTGTTCAGTCTGTTGTTCTCTGTTCTGTTGTTATTACTAGAACTTGACTTTCAAGATGAAATGTCGGTTCTTGGTCTCTGATTTTACAAAATACATTTCCCCAAAAAGTGTGACTTATAGTCTGGTGTGACTTATATATGTTTTTTCTTCTTCATTGTGCATTTTTTGGCTGATGTGACTTATACTCCGGAGCGACTTATAGTCCGGAAAATACAATAATTTAATAATAATAATTTTAGCTACCCCATCTCTAGTACATATTATTAACCTATAGACCATTATTCAGAGAAATGCAGCAAAAACAAGCATGGCGTCTTATGTGCATGTTAGAAATGTTAGAAAAAGGACAACATGACTAACAGTGTGGGCTTGTGTGGACTTCTGTAGTTAATCAGGTGAGGGAAGTTATTAAAAACTTCTGAAAAACATGAAAAACTGTTCATTTTAATTCCTAGTTCTAGTCAGACAAGCAGCAAATATTCCAAAGCAGAATACCAGTCCACTGCAATAAAAAACTGGAATATTGTGAAAAAGTTCCTTATTTTTTGTCACTCATTTCATAAAGTCAAACACATTATCAGTGTTCAGATTACATGTACTAGAGTTAGGTAATCAGAGTACAAATTATGAGTAACTGTATTCAGTTACAGTTACTGTTTCAATGAGTGGTAATTGGATTACAGTTACTTTGTTGAAATAAATGGATTACATTTTTTTTTTTTTTTCGGTAATTCCACTCATTGCTGGAAACTAAACCAGGTCTAAACTAGATTTAAACAAGGTCTAAACTAGATCTAAACCAGGTCTAAACTAGATCTAAACTAGTTCTGAACCAGGTCTAAAACCATGTCTAAACCAGGTCTAAACCAGGACTAAACCAGGTCTAAAACTGGACTAAAACAGGATTTAACAGGACTAAATCCTGCTGTGTGGACGTGTCTTCTCTTCTATCAGTAATATTTTTAACATGATTCAGTAAAGTCTGGGCTTTTTTATTTTCTTTTAACAGATACAAGATCTTATGTTACGATTTCCTCGTCTTTGCTTCTCTACAGCAAATCAAGTAATCCAAAGTATTCAGATTACATTACTCACTTTAAGTAATTTAATGGATTACGTTACAAACTACATTTTGGAGTATGTAATCTGTAATCTGTAGGGGAATACATTTTAAAAGTCACCTTCCCAACACTGCACATTATTATAGAGACCCGTGACACATAGAGTGACATATTTTTAGATGTTTTATGATTGTGGTTAATAGATAATGAAAAAATTAAATTCTGTATCTCAGAATATTACATAAAATGAATTTAAAAAGATATTTTAAACAGAAATGTTGCGCTTCTGAAAACTATGTTCATTTCTATGTACTCAGTACTTGGCTGGGTCTCTTTTGGAATGAATTACTAAATTAGACTAGTACACACAGCCCCCCCTTGTACGATAGGTGTTACTGACCCTCTCCTGAAAGCCCATGTGCGGTACGTTACAGCGGACTCCTGCGTCCTCCTCGTGGCTGCAGTCGGCCGTCTCTTTGTTAAAGGCACATTCTGTGATGGACTTTTCAAAGCCGGAGCACTGGACCTCGTTCATGTGCACCGGACCCATACCTGAAGACACACAATAAGACTGTTTTTAATACTCTTGAATAGCCCGCAAACAAAAAAGTAATGTATGTTTTGAGCAAAATCCATAGAATTACACTAGCCAGAATTACATTAAAAAAACAACTAAAGGGAAAATGGAACAACTCTTCTGGCTTAATGTGAGTAAATACATGTCATACACTTTAGGGCTGTCATTGACTAAACTAATTCTTGGTCAACTAAAAACATGTCCCACTGAACTGTATGTGTGGGGACGCTGGCCAAAGTGGTCAAAGTAGGAGGCAGATGCAACAACAAAAAAAGTGTCTTTACTCAGACAAAATTTATTTTAAATCTGACTTCTGGAGTTCACCAATAGACAAAAAATAAGTAACTCAAAGCAAAAACACCAAACACCTGCACAGAAATGACACCTGCTTTGCTTTTATACCCCGCCCCGCAGGAAATACCTCCCCCAGGTGAGTATCCAGGTAACTCCCAAAGCAAAGCAAGTCTCCTTTCAAAATAAAAATGGTTAACATAAACTAACGTGAATTTAAAATGAGACAAAGGCCCCACTTTGTCACACACCCCCTCTTAAAAACCATTACTCCTAGAGTCACGGGACAGGAAGTTCATCAATTTTCACAATAAATTTTAACAATACAAAACCCTCTTTCCCAATGAGACAATAGTCTACTTCAAAGTGTCCGAAACTCCTCTTGTTTCAAGAGCATCTTCTTCAATGACGGTACCTTCCTCTCAAAAGAGTTCAGTTCCACCCGGCTCCCAGTCTCACCAGCAGCCCATCACCGGTACTGCCACACCTCGAGCTGGTATCTTACCCACAGCGGGTTTCTGGAACTCCAACACTGACCAAAGATCCTCCAAACTTACGTTAACATATTCATTTCTATTCAGTCTGTTGTTCTCTGTTCTTTTGTTTTTACTAGAACTTGCCTTTCAAGATGAAATGTTGGTTCCTGGTCTCACATTTTATAAATACATTTCCCCAAACATTGCGACTTATAATCCGTTGCAACTTATAGATGTTTTTTTCTTCTTCATTGCACATTTTTTGGCTGGTATGACCAATACTCCAGAGCGACTTTTAGTCCAGAAAATACGGTTCTACTATTCCATGTGCTCTTTAGATTGATTTCTGTCCTGTGAAAGTGACTTTTTTAGTATCGAACCCTGCTCAAATAAGGATCTAGTTTCAGTAGTACTTTTGACAACCCTAACTTTCTGTGACACTGCACCTCAACCGGAACATTAGAACACACGGGGGATCTGTGTGGAGATCAGAGAGACAGCTCATGTTAGACATTTACAAAATAGAGTTTCCAAATGTACTGAGACGATGAGAGGGGACAGGTAGAGAATATACAGTCCAAAGCTCTGTGGGAACGACTCAAGATTTAAAATGTATTATGTAAGAAAGGAATCCAACCCAAAGATAACAAGAGGCCCCTGGAACATGATTTAGTACTAAGATGTAATAGAATCTACAGCCTAGTACTTCCAGATGTAAATGTCTTTTCTTTTCATTTCATGCTTCCTGCAAATTAGACCACTAAGTTAGATCAACCATTTTCTAATTTACAACCAAGTGATTCAGATTTTTGACTTTTATGGTTGGACTTTTATGATGTCGTGTGTTTATTACATATATACTGGCGACAGTAGCTCAGTTGGTAAGAGTTATGGGAGGGACGAAGCGCAATGTTCACAAGACGATACACACCCAGAGATCAGGTCCACGAGAACAAGACGAGATGACATTTTGATATAATTTGTAACAAATAAATCTTTATCTACTGTATTTTTTGGACTATAAGTTGCAGTTTTTTTCATGGTTTGGGTGTTTCCTGTGACTTATACTCCGGTGCGACTTATATATATATTAAAATGTTGACAGTGAAGTGGTGAGAGGTTCTAGTCTTGTGTGTGAGTATCTGCTGCTCCTGTTCCTCCTGTACCACTGTCACTTCACTCTACTGCACATGTCTCCTGCAGAAAGAGCCTCTGTTCTGCTGCAAGTCGTGAAATATTCAGCTGAAAATGGTAAACGAGCAGCAGAAAGCAAGTTTGGAGTGAGGGAGAAATTTGTGAGGGACTGGTGGAAAGCGGGGATGGAGAACACAACTTTGTGGCAACAGGGAGGATGCAGCATGCAACTTTCCTGAAGTCACTGGATGAATGGACAAGGCCTAAACTTTACTGACGACCGAAACCATCCTGTCGAGATTCAGAAAGGCCGGAATAATTGTAACTGGAACTGATGCTGAGTCTGACGACAGCGACACAGAAGAGGAAGCGACGCTCTGTTTACCTCCGGAGGTCACGCAGAAGTGACACCGAGGATGAAGAATTCAATGGATTTAGTGATTTGGAGTGAGATGGAGAGTTTCATATGTTCATATGTGACGTTAACTGCCTGTTGTTCTCTGTTCTGTTGTTATTAGTATAACTCACCTTTTAAGAGGAAATGTCTGTTCTTGGTCTCTGATTTCATTAAAAAAATTTCCCCCAAAAAGTGCAACTTATAGTCCGGTGCGACTTATATATGTTTTTTTCTCCTTTGTTACACATTTTTTGGATGGTGCGACTTATACTCTGGAGCGACTTACAGTGTGGGGAAGTAACAGATTACATGTACCAGAGTTACGTAATCAGAGTACAAATTATGAGTAACTGTATTCAGTTACAGTTACTGTTTCAGTGAGTGGTAATTAGATTACAGTTACTTTGTTGAAATAAATGGATTACACGGCAGGATTTTACTGTTTTCCTATTTTTTTTTATTTTTATTTTTTTTTTGGTAATTCCACTCATTGTCGGAAACTAAACCAGTTCTAAACCAGGTGTAAAACCACGTCTAAACCAGGACTAAACCAGGACTAAACCAGGACTAAACCAGGACTAAACCAGGACTAAACCAGGACTAAAACCAGGACTAAACCAAGACTAAAACAGGACTAAAACAGGACTAAAATAGGACTAAACCAGGACTGAAACAGGATTTAACAGGACTAAACTGTGCTCTGTGGACGTGTCTCCTCCTCTTCTATCAATAATATTTTTAATTTGGTTCAGTAAAGTCTGGTCTTTTTATTTCCTTTTAACAGACAAAACATCTTATGTGAAGATTTCCTCATCTTTGCTTCTCTACAGCAAATCAAGTAATCCAAAGTATTCAGATTACATTACTCATTTTAAGTAACTTAATGGATTTTGTTACAAACTACATTCTGGGGTATGTAATCTGTAATCTAGGGGAATACATTTTAAAAGTCACCTTCCCAACACTGGCGATTTATAATCTGAAAAATACAGTAACTCTTTAGTGGTCTTGTTCTACTGCGTTTTGGAACTACAGCTTCTTAAAGTGTATAACTCACCAGCTCTTAACTCCCTTTTTATTCAAGAGAAAGGTAAGTTCAGCAGGAAAAAATATACAAATTCTTGTGGCAATTTTGTCTCGTGAGATCTTGTCTCCCATCCCTAGTAATAAGAGTGTTTGTCCGCTGATCAGAAGGTTGGCGGTACGAATCCCACTCCCACAGATGAATGCTGTCGTTGTGAACTTGGGCAAGACACTTAACCCTCCCTTGCCCCTAGTGTCTCTATAAACTGTTGTACGAATGTGTGAGTGAATGTGTGAGTGGTTCCTTGTTGTAAAACACCTGAAGATGGAAAAGTGCTGTATAAAAATGTGACTATTCACCTTTTATAACATTAGCCAAAAATTACACTATTGGCCATTCTTAGACTATTGATTGATATTAGAATATTCTTTGATACCGAAACTCTGCCAAATTTCACACTAAACTTGTTAAAAACCCCAATCAAAATGATAGAATAACCTCGTAAAATGTCCGTATCAACCTCAACCACCATTTTTCCTGTTTTGTTAATATTTTAATATGAAAATCTGGTAACACTTTATAATAACTACACCTTATTTAGCCTTAATAAAGCATGAACAAAGACTTAATTAATAATGATTCACGCTTAGTAACTACTTAATTACTATCTGAATTAGCACTTAACTTGCACTTAATTCGCCTGTGCTGTAAATAGTTACTCAATACTTCTTAATTACTCATAAACTAACCATTTGCATGTTTACAAATGTATATTTATATGTAAAATGTATATTTAAGTACACATTTGAGCATTTATTAATGATTAGTAAGCCATGAGAGAATGATTTACTAATAATACAATACAATGATCATTCAGGCAGCTGTTATCTGTTGGTTAAGTCTTTCTGAGAGCTTTTCTAAAGTGAAGACGAATGATGCTTTATTAAGCATTTGTTAAGGTTGGTCAAATTCCAGAGAAACAATAATGCATTACTAGTAAATCATTCTTTCATGGCTTATTAATCATTAATAAATGCTCAAATTTGTACTTAAATATACATTTACAAATGCACACACAAATGGTTAGTTCATGAGTAATTAAGTAAGAAATACTTATGAGTAACTATTTACAGCAGAGGTGAATTAAGTGCAAGTTAAGTGCTAATTCAGGTAGTAATTAAGTAGTTACTAAGCGTAAATCATTATTAATTAAGTCTTTGTTCATGCTTTATTAAGGCTAAATAAGGTGTAGTTATTATAAAGGCTTACCAAAAATCTCAATAAATACATTGTTTAAAAAAACGAATATTGTTTGATAGTGCTAGTACAACCAGGCCTTCACTACAGGCTAGATTAAGGTCTAAAATATAAAAAACAATACATCTAAGAGACTAAACCAGGTCCAAACCGAGACTAAACCAGGTCTAGACAGGACGAAACCAGGACCGACCACAATGAAAGTCCATATGACAGGTTAGATCACTCGTTTCACAAAAATATAGTTATCATCCTTTAAGTCTTGTCTAGGTCTTTCCACCTTTTTAATTTGCGACCACCAACGAGCAGAAGATATGAGGCAGACAATTCCAGAACTTTTATCGATAAAACCATAACGTTAATGACCAAACATTAACCTGGGATCCAGAATACACT